GCTGGTCCGGCTCTCTGGGGAGTAGGGGAGCGGCCACTCCCGGAGGGCGGCTCCTCCCGCACCCAGGCACGGGCAGTGTGGCCATGAGCCCAGGGGCCCTGGCCAGCCCAGCATCCTGCCCAGCAAAGGGGAGCCTTCGGGAAGCTCCCTCCGCCCTGGACGAGATCCCTCTTCTGCTCTACGGGGCCTCCCAGAGGGGGCGGGGGTCTCCCCCGCCCCCCCGCACAGGACCTGGCCCTCACAGAGCGAGCGGGCAGGGCACCCCAGGCGGGCGGCGGGGACGCCTCGGCAGAGGCCTGGCGATGGGTCGCCTCATTTGCATGCAGGGGCCACCGAGGCGAGAGCCGCCACCGCCGCTGCCGCGGCGCAGATTTGAGCAGAAGCTCCGTTTTCCTTGTTCTCGTCTCTCTCAAGGTCAGAGCCAGAGCGGGGGCAGGAACAAAGGCGCGCGGCCCCATTCAACCTCCCGGAGCCCGCGGTTGCTCCCACGGGACGGCCCCGGGGGGAGGGCAGGGCGGCTCTGAGGCCTGGCCCAGGGCGAGGCGGGGTGGGGGCGCGGGGACAGCTGCCCCGCTGCTCACCGGGACCCCTGCCCCATGGGGGGCGGCTGTGGGCACCCAAGAGGCCCTGTCTCCTCCCACGGCTGGTGGCCGTCCCAGCCTCCAGGCTCAGCGGCAAGGGATCAGCTGAGCCCAAGGGTCATTCTGGAGTCAAAGGTCAGACAGCAGGCTCACGCTTGGGACAGGGGTCAGTCTTGGGTTCAAGGCTCAGTCAGGGTCAGGGGTCATCCAGGGTCGTTGTCAGCCCCAGGCTCAGACTCCGGACAGGGGTCTGTCCACATCCCTCCTGGTCTACACTCTTGGGCTCGAGGGTCTGCCCCAATCTCCAGGAGGGTCTTGCCCGGGCCAGGCGCACGTCCAGCCCCTAGGCTGTGCCCAGCGCCCCTGGCCCAGCCCTGCTGCCCGCGCCCACGGGCCTCTGACCCCTGACCCGCCGCCCACTGGCCCCTGACCCACACCCCCCACCCATTGCCCACCACCCTGGCCCGAAGGGCGAGTCCCCAGGGCTCAGAATCAGCGTCCAGTGTCCCTCAGCCTTCAAAGTCCACAGGGCTGCGGAGAAAGCTAAAAATATTCGGGGAGAAATTTCTCATTACAGAATAAATTGGACCAAACCCGCTGGCGGTTTTCAGAAGCCCCAGCTCCGCCGGGCGGGGACCAGGCGGGGAAGGGGTCGCGGGGAGGGTGGGGCCTCCGCGGGTTGGGGCTCCACTGGTCCTGGTCAAAGCCGGTCAGAGCCAGGCTGGGGTGAGTCCTCACTAGAGCCGGGGCCAGAGAGCGGGGGTGTCAGGGAGAGGCCCGAAGCTGTCGATAGTTGTCACTGAAAATGAAAATGTGTCCCTTATCTTGCTGATGAATTAAAATTCCCACTCTCGTGTCCAGTGTCCAGCCAGGCCCTTGAAATCTCAGCCCCCACTCAAGACTCCTGCACCCCCCACCCCAGCCCCCGACCTCCGGAACAGGCGCCCCATCCCTGCTATTTCCCCTCCCTTCTGCCCTCACCACCCTCCTCCCCACCCTCCTCTCTTCTCCCTACTCTCCTCCCCACCTGTCTCCCTTCTCTCCTTCCCACCCTCCCTCCTTCCCACCCTCTTGTCTCTCTTCCCTACTCTCCTCTCCTCCCTCCTCCCTCCTTCCCCTCCCTCTCCCTCCTCCCTCTCTTCTCCCCTCCCACCTCTCCCTCCTCCCTTCCTCTTCCCCACCCTCCTCCCCTCCGGCCTCTCCCTCCTTCCTCCTCACTCTTCTCCCTTCCTACCTTCCCTCCTCCCCTCCCACCCTCCCAGCCTCAGAGCCTGGACACAGACCCTGTCCTCCCATGGCGACCACCCGCCAGTCTGGGGACTTGACCACGGCTGTCCAAAACAGGCGCCAGCAGCTCCCGTGGCTCCTGGGCATGAGAAGTGTGTCCAGTACCACGAGGAACAGGATTGCGAGCTTCCCGTACTCTTAATTCGCGTGTTTGCGTATAGAGAGGCCCCCGTGGCTACTATCCTGGGCAGTGCACCTCTGCAGCCTCTCAGAGCTGCACCTGGGCACCTGCACGGGCACACTCGCCTGGGACCAGGCCACCGAAGGCCGCGTGAAGTGGGGGGCTGCAGCTCAGAAACCCCAGAGAGGATGAGATGGGGCGCTGGGGGGCCTAGAGGAGTCAGGGGTCCTGGGAACCCCAGGGAGGCCACAGCCGCCCCGCCTGCTGACCCCAGGTGGTGGGACGGGGCTCTGCTGGGTACTGGGCATGTCGGACCAGCAGAGCAGCCTCCCATCTTCCAGGAAATCGCCTCGCCTCGACCACCACGGCCGGCCACCGGCCCGAGGCAGGCCGGCCACAAGCCCCCCCTTTCATGAGCCAAGGCATGCAGCTTCTCCAGCTCCCAGCTGCCCCCATTCCCGGGATGGAGAACGGGGGGCACAGCGAGGCCCCCAGCCCAGGGGACCGGTTCGCTGCGTGTCCAGTGGGCACGGCCCATGGGGACGGAGGAGGGGGAGGGGCCTCAAGGCGCCAGGTCTGCACACCGCCACCTGGCCCCGGGCTTGGGGTGGGCTCTAGGCGACACCCGTGTGTGCGCGCGCGTGCAGGCCTGTGCTCGTGGGTCCCGCGTCCACCCTGCGTGCGTGACTGTCGGTGTCGTGTGTCACGCGGCCTTGTGGCCATGTGTGTGGTTGTGCCTGCAAGGCAGTGGCAAGGTGGCTGAAGGTGCCGGAAGGCCCTCCCGGGCTCGCCAGTGCGCACACGCGGCCCTGGAGCGGCGGGACCCGTGGCCTCTCCTCCCGCGCCCACAGCCCCGCGCCCGGCTCTTGGCCACGAGAGCGTCCCGCTCCCGGCGCGTTAACCTCGGTGGGGCCACCGGCTGCCGCCCCCCACGCGGGCGCTGATGGGCGCTGGGCCGGAGGCGGCGGGCACTCTCCGCGCCGACGGGGGTGGGCAGCGAGTTCCCGGATCCAGTCGGCAGAGCGCGGGTCTCTCCTGACCTCATTAGAGTAATTAACGTGCCTTTTGAAGCTGGAGACAGCGTTCAGAGCTCTGGGAAGGGGACGCAGATTACAGACGGGGGCCGGGCCGGGGCTGCGCGCCGGCTAAAAACGTGTCCCAGCGGGTCGGACACGGAGAAAGGAACAGACAGAGAAAGACAGACGGAGATGGAGGAAGAGGAGCAGCATAGACAGACACCAACAGGGGGCAGGGGGCGTTCAGAGAAAGAGACGCAGAGACAAAGAGAGATCCACAGGGGGAAGATACAGAGAGACAACAACCAGAGCCCGAGGGACAGGCTCACCTAGGAGTGACTTCTCGAGGCCTCCCAAAGACTCTGGCCTCACCTCAACTTCCCTGGAAGACTGCTGGCCCCTCAGGGCATGACCCTCCCAAAAAAGCAGGAGCAGTGAGGGAGGACTTCCTGGAGGCGGCAGCTGGACACCAGAGGAATAAGGGGCAGTGTGAGCAAACTTGGGGTTGGGGAGCCAATAGAGGCTCTCAAGAAGCAGACTGGGGAGCAGTGCAAACGACCTTGGCTAGACAAGGGGGTGAGCAGCTGACCCCGACAGAGACAGCTCTTCTGCACCCTGCTGGTGGGCAGGGACCCAGGCTCAGGGCAGCAGGGAAGGTCAGCGGGCTGAGGGGTGGATGGCCCCAAGAGCCAATGGCTCCCAGGTGGGCAGCAGGCTGGCCCCTCCCACGGTGGACAAGGATACAAAGTGGGCTCAAGAGAGTGAGAAATCCGGCCCTACGTGGACCTACTTCTCTACCTGGACCACGTTTAGCTCTGGGGAGAAGGCTCAGGCCACACCTGGGCCCAGCCGGCCAGTGGCGCATGGCTGCCACCTGGTGGCGGCTCCTCCTAATGACATGGCTGTCGTGTCTGGTCGGTGGCCTGAGGGAGACCCCAGGCTCCCGGCACCACTAGCCAGCCCCCTCCCCTCCAAACCTACAGGTGACGGGGGAGGACTCTGCCCAGAAACAGCAACTTACAGGGAAAACAAGGACCCCAGAAGAACCCATCGAGCCCCTCGCAGGGGATGGGGGTTCCCATGTCCCCACGCAGCTCAGATACCCACGATGGCAGTTCAAGTGCTCCAATGCAGGTCCAGCGCCAGGGGATGGGACTCGGGTGCCCAGATGGAGGTCAGGTACCCAGGGTGGGGGTCCCGTGTCCAGGATGGGGGCTCAGGTACCAGGATGGAAGTCAGGTACCCGGGGTGGGGGTCCTGTGTCCAGGATGGGGGCTCAGGTGCCAGGATGGAGATCAGGGGCCTGGGATGGGGGCTCAGGTGTCCCATGAGGCCTCAGGTGCTCTGATGCCCAGGATGGGGGCTCAGGTTCACTAATGATTCCACATGAGGTTCACGGGGGAGAACATGGTGGGCACAGGGGTCCTCAGGCTGCAGGAAGCTCCAGCTCCCCTACACTACATCCTTAGGGCTCCTTGAGAAACGCCCCCAAAGGTGCTGATGGTATGAGTGTGGCAAGACAAGGATCCCAGAGGATCTGGCCCTTGAGAACCCCAGGCTGAAAACAGCACAGAGGAACGCCCTCAAGCAAGGACTTCGACGGATGAATGAGTTCTGTCTCGACCCAGAAACAATGACCAGCAGAGCTTCTCCAGGCAGGTGTGGGCAGGTCTCCCCCACCTCTCCGTCTAGCTCGTAGGATCCCCCACTGGACTGTCTGGACACTTGGGGGCAAGGCCGAAGAAGCCAGCTTGGTCACAGGTGGGAGAAGTCAGGCCAGGATGGAGCCCCGCTCTGCTGCCCCCCCGCCCCAAGGACGTGAGCCAAGACGCCGGGTCTGGCCCAGTGGGGAGCTGGGGGCCAACTCGAGAGCCACTGGTGCCTTTATTGTCCCCAGCCCAGGGGGAAGGTGCTCCCAGACCGGCCCCTCAGCTCAGGGCAGCTGCAGCCCCCGGGGGAGGGTGAGCAGCCCGAGTCACGGTCCAGCGAGGGGCCTCAGTCCTGGGAGGCCTGCCAGGGCCTCTCTGGCTTCTGCCTGGCATCCTGGGTGTCCCGTCCAACTGGGGACTGAAGCGGCTTCGGGCAGGCTGGGCAGGCCCCACACGAGCTCTCAGGGTGCAGCAAAGCCGGCAGGAGAATCACGGGGTGCGCCAGGCACCGGGCACAGGCCCTGTGTCTGTTCTTCCCCCAGGACGGCTGAAAACGCCACCTCCTCGCCCTGAGCATCTGGAAGATGAGGGACAGGTGTGAGAGGCGTGGACTGAGGGGCCCGCCCGCTCCCCTGCCCCTGCGTGTGCCTGAGGCTCCCCCTCCTAAAGGGCAGCAGTAGCTCTAACCTGCGCAGCCCGGGCCCCAGGTCCACCTCCCTCAGCTGGCGCAGAGAAAGGGGATCCCCCCCGCCAATAGAGGTGGGGAGCCAGAGGAGTTCCCAAATCACACCGGCACCTCCCTCGGGTAGCTCGGGAAGTCAGAACCATACCCTGGTCTCGCCGCCTCCTGCCGGCACCCCCCCAATACGCTGGAGCTGAACAGGCCGTCCCTGTCTGCTCCCCCTTTGCCAGCTCTGCTCCCTGCAGCCCTGTGCCTGAGGTGCTCTTCCGGGGCCCCCTCAGCAGCACCCAGCAACTAATTCTCCATCTCTGACATCGATCTTGCCTTCACCGTTGGGCCCAGACTCAAGCGCTGTGGCCCACTCCCATCTTAAAAAAATAGCAAACTGAGGCCTGGGCGCGTGAGGGGGAGCGCCTTGCCCAAGGCCACACAGCTAGTGACTGCCAAGCCAGTGCTCCAGGCCCGATCGCGCCGTGCCCTGTGATGACCAACTACCTCATGGGTTGGGAGTCTTCCCGCCTCTCCAGCCCTGCCCCCCACAGCTCCCCCGAGGCGGAGCCCCCTGCCGGGGGGGGGGGGTAGGGCTGCGCTACCATCTCAGATTCCTGGTCTCAAAGACTGTCTCCTCGTCGCTGTCCAGCGAGGCCATCTCCGTGGGGTCCTCGCTGTTGGCCAGGAGGCCGTACCTCCTCCGCTGCCGCTTCTTCAACCTGGAAGCAGGCCCAGGCGCTCAGGGCCGTCTCAGCCGGTCCTGCTCCCCCTGCCCCCCCCAGTCCCGGCACTCAGCCTCCTCTGCCCGACCCCCAACCCTTGTTGCGAAGCTCCCTGGTCTAAGAGCGCGTTTCTTTGGCGTCATAACGGTCACAACAATTTGTTGCTCTCTTCTCATTAACAGGAAGCAAATACCCCGGGCGGAGACCCCCGGGCCAGGAACCCTCGAGAGAGTGCTTTATTCTGCTTTACTGATAACAACGTGGCGTCTCAGAAACGCGGTGAGGGTCTGCCAGCGACATCGAATGGAGGACTGTCTCACAGAAGCCCCCCGCCCCGCCCCCAGTAGGAAGAGAAGAGGCTCCCTCTGCGGCGGCTGCAGCAGCAGACTCGTAAGAGAGAAAAGAGCTGGGCACCCACAGGAGCGTCAGTGAAGGACAGAAGGGCCCCTGGACAGCGTCTGCACGTGGGCAGCTGTGCCACAAAGGCATCACACCTCTGGCCAGCCCCAGAGAGGATGCCAACGCGGAGGTCAGGGGCCTGCGCAGGGCGCCACGGCGGCCTGACCCGGGCAGGGCGTGCAGGCCGCGGAAAGGAAGAAGTTCTCACTCTTAGGGGAGCACGGGAGACCACGGAGACCCATCTTGGCCAGCGCTGGGGCGGGCTCCAGCCTGGCCCCCAACTCCGCTCCCCTCCCCGGCTGCGGAGACTAATCAAAGCGGAGGAGGCTGACGGCGCGGTCGAGACCCCGCTGGGGTCGGCGGGGGCCGCGCTCACCGCCGCCGGGCAGGAGAAGTGGCGCAACACAGACCAATAATCCTGTGGGGGGGGTGGGTACAGCAGCCAGCGACACAAGCGGGCAGCACCACCCGCAGCGGCCCCGTCTGCAAAACCCGTACCTGCGCCGCGGCCTCATAAACCAGCGGGGGCGTCACGTGACCACCCACACAGCCACGTAACGACCACGCGCCGCTCGCCCCCGCCCGCTCCGGGGGGGCGGGGCTCTCGCGCCCCAGCACGTGAGGCGCGAGGCGCGCGTTGATTGGCCGCGCCAGGGCGGCGGCGGCGGCGGCGGCGTGCGCCCGACGCACCTGAACGCCCGGATGAGGAAGTAGAGCGCGGCCAGGCCGCAGAGGCCCGTGAGCACGTACAAGGAGCGCAACAGCGGCGAGCCCGAGGCGGCCGGCGGCTGCGGGTGCGTGCCGTTGTGCGGCGCGCCCGGCTGGCTCCCGTTCCTCGCGGCGGGCGGCGACGAGAGCGTGGTCTGCGCGGGGCGCGAAGACGTGGTCTCCTGGCCTCCGCACAGCAGCGCTGGCAGCAACAGCAGTAGCAGCAGGAGCGGCGGCGGCAGCTCACGCGGCCCCATGGCCAGGCGGAAGCGGAGGCTGCGCCCGCCCCGCCTGTCACTCACTGGCGCGGGGGCGGTGCTGGCCAATGGGACACGGGGGCGGGGCCTGCTGTCCGGAAACGCTCGGTCCCGCCCCCGGCCACTTCCCACCGTGCTCCGCGCCGCCCGGCTGCACCGTTTCCCCGCCCGGAGCGCGAAGGCCCCTGCTAGGCGGACGGCGGGCCGCAGGGTCCCCGCCCCGGGGCGCACAGCGGAGGCGAGGCCCGGCCACGCAGGACGGCTCGGCGCCGCACCCCAGGCCTCCCTCCCGTCCGGGCCCGGAAATGCTGTTCTTGCTCCGTGCTTCCTGCAGTCGGTCGGAAATTGTCCTCCCAGCCCCTGTGCACCCCGGGGGCCGGTGGGACCAGCAAAGTGTCCCTGCTGTGGCCTGGGCCGTCCCCGAGAGGCGGCCCCCGTGTCCCGTGGGCCAGAGAATTTGGCATTCGCCGAGCCAGGACCCAGCAGACCTAACCGGTGGAAAAAGTTGGCCACGTCGCCGTCCTGACCAAGCTTAGCGACTGGGTCCTGTACGCCCTACCACCGTCTGCCCCACCCCGTGGCAGTCGAAGTGACCTGCCCAGGGCCCAAGGCAGCACAACCAGGGCTCAACTCCAACGCTCTGCACCCCAAGACGGGGAAGCGAACTCAGCCTGCAGGGCGGCACAGAGGAAGATGCCCAGGGGTCACTCTGCCGAGACCTCGGCCAGGGCCCTGGGAGACGATGCCCACCTCAGATGAGGGGCCCAGAGACCTCCTCCTCCTCTCAGGCTATGTCCCTCGGACCCCAAGACAAGTGGCCGAAAGGACAATGAAATGACCCGCTGGTCAATGGTTTGGGTCCAGCTCATGCCAGGAACAAAGGTCCAAAAGGGCTTTCCCTAGTGGACGTCCCCCACCTCGTCCCACGCAGCTTCCCCGAGGATCAGGGGCCCACCCTCACAGCCACACCCCAAACCAGAGTCGGATTTCTGGGTAGACACACCAGTCCTTTATTCCAATCCGACTTCCACGTCCTGTCACGCTGTTGTGGGTGAGGACTGGCCACCGTGCAGCCACCACATAGCCATCCTCCTGGAGCGACTAGAAGCCCCACGCCCCAGCCTCGTCACGAAGCACCTGCTGGAAAGACCAGGCAATGAGGGAAACAGAGCTGGCTCCACCTGGAGGCACAAACAACACTGCCCCCCGCTGGGGCCCACTGGGCAGGAGACCAGGAGAGAACCCACCGGAAGGGCCCGGCACTGCCAGGGCCCAGGAGAGAACCCACCAGAAGGGCCGGGCACTGCCAGGGCCAAAGGGCCGCACATCACCCACCGGGTAAAGCACTTACAGGTGACAGGCCTCGAGGGCAGGTGGCTGCGTCTCTGACTCTTGCTCCCAGGTGAAGTCCCTCCTGGGACGCTGACCCCAGGTCATCGCTGCCTTCAGGCCACCCTTCCAAGTCACACTGGCTTCCCTTCAACCTGCCAAAGCAAAGGAGCATTACCCTGCCATCCTGGCCTCGCTGGCAGCTGCCCCTCCCCGCCTCCCCCGAAACCATCCACAGCTCCTGGGAGGGCCTCCTAGTCCTCGGGGCTGTCCCAGCCGGCGTGCCCAGGGCGGCCTGTGCCTCTGTCCACCCGTAAGCAGAGCCACTTCCCAGTGGGGATGGAGCTGCTTAGTGCGGCGTGGGCTCTGGGCAAAAACACACGGTGGCAACAGACATGAGAAAGCTGTAAGGAGCATGACTGGGGGAGCTCGGAAAAGACTGTCAACTCAGGAACAAAAAGCCAAAAGGCAGGGCATTCAGGGTCTCCAATCCTGCTTACGGATCGAACCTACTCGTGAGATGGGACTGCCCGGGCCGCTCCCCTGGCCGCAGGCGGGAAGGGCAAATGGCCAGGGTCTGACTTTACTTCTAACTTGATTGAAAAAAAAAAAATACAAAAGCAAAAAACAGTCAAAGGAACTCTCCCCGGGTACATTACTTTCAAACGAGCTCTCGACAAGAGGGGGATGCGGACACGAGCAAAGGGCGTTACCTCAATTACAGGGCTATTTCCACAAAGAGCTAGCCAAGGGAGCGGCTCGCGTCTCAGAGGCTCTGTTGGGCGCACAACACTTCTGTCCTCCGAGGCTGCAGCTTCCACAGGCTAGCAGAGAACGCTCAGAACTTGTGAAGCAACAGCAGAACTAGCTACTGATAGATCAGTCTGGGGTCGCCCAGGGACTCGGCTGCCATCCGTTCTGGCCTGCCTCTAGACTAAGGTGGTCCCGTCCGGGTCGGCGTCAGGTGCCCGTGTGTCCACCGTCTCGGCTAAGCTGCCCGCCCCGTCGAGCCCTCTGGCTTCCTCCACCAGAAGCCTCCCGGGGCTGTCCTGTGGTCCGAGCTGCCCATCCCGTCACCCGCCTGCTCATCTAATGGGGACCCGTGGCAGTCAGCTGTCACCAGGGGCCCAGCCAGCGTCACCTGACTCTGCCTTCCTCGTCTAGCTCTCCGCGGGCCCCGGCAGGGCCTGCAGACCTACTTCTCAAGCTGCCCTCTCTGCCCAGGGCGGACTGCGCGAGCCCGCAGCAGGGAGCGTGCTGTGCAATGAAAGGGCAGTTGTCAGAGCAAGGTTCGTTTCACACGGTCTTTTAATCGGCTTCGTAAAGCCAAAGAAAACTGCGTACAAGGATTCCTTACCCACTTCAAATACAACAGCAATGGCATATGCATACGTCTTCCAGTAAAAAAGGACAATATAAATAAACAGTTTCCAGAACCTCTCCGAGGACATCTGCCCATTTACTGTGGGTCACACAGCACGCACGGGCCGTCCAGGCCGGACCTGGGGCAGTGGGGCGCCTCTGCTGCTGCCCCGGGTGGTCCTACCACGCTACCCTCAGAAACGGGACACGGAGGTGGAAAAAGCCCCAGCTCCCTCAGCTTCCGAATGAGAAGGGATTCAGAATCCGTTCGATCTCAAAGAGAAACGAATCGGGGCCCTCAAGTTCACAGGACCAAGCCCACTGAAAAAAGGAACCAAAAAGGCAACACAGCCTAAAGTAAAACAAACCCACATGACCCCCGATGATCTTCTAAACACTCATGGCTCACGGTAAAGGGAAAAAAACAAAATCTGAAGTGCTCTCCAAAACGTTTTTAAAAGCCTTGGAAAGGGACAGCGCTTCCTTAGAATGAAAAATCTAGTGAGGGGGCCATGGGGGTCTGCAGCAGTCAGGCTGTTTGACAAGATGAGAACCGAGAGAACTACAAAAGTGGGGTGCAGGGAGATGTGGTCACTACACATTAACGGTTCAGCGAAGCTCCCAAAATCTTTAAATATACAGCCAATGGAAGGACGATCTCGAGCAGCAAGGATTTTTACTCGTTGTGTGTAGCTGAGAACAAGAAGCAGGCACAGTGTAAAGGCACCGAGGCGCGAGACCAGAGGCAGCATTCCACTCCCGGGGCCAGACCTGGAGGACTCGCAGGGCCGGAGCCACCAACCCCCCACGGGGGCAGGGCGGGCCACACATGCACTGAGGCTGCCCGCTCGGTGCGCCCCTCGCTCTCCCTCTCCTGCTCGCTCATCTGGTTGTGTCCTATGTTCGGTGGCGACATAGCTGCTGGCCCAGACACCCGAGAGGGCAGACTCGGCCCTTACGGGCACGCGCAGCGACGAGGTCTGAGCGTCACTCGCGCAGGCCCAGGCTGGCTGAGCTCCCGCCGCAGGCCCCGGGAGCGCCACTTACCGTAGCTGTCGTAGCTGTCCCTGTAGGACCCGCCCGAGCTCCGCTCGCCGTAGCCGCCGCCCTGACTCCGGCTGCGGAGGACACAGGTGGGCGCTGAGTGCACCCGTCCGCCCCCGGGCCCCGCGCCCCAGGCCCGCGGCCTCACCTGCCATAGTAGTCTCTGGAGCCCCCGTAGCCCCCACTCCTGGACTCGAACCGGCCGCCCCCGTAGCCCCGGTCCCCACCTCCTGCAGACAAGGACCAAAGTGAGCGCCAGCTCCTGCCAGCGGTGCCCACCGCGCCCCCAGGCGCGCGCTCACCTCTGGAGAAGCCGCGACCCCGGCCGCGGCCCCCGCGGAAGAAGCCCCGGCCGCCGGCAGAGCCGCCGCGGTAGCCACGGGACCGGCTGTCGGAGGACTTGCCGGCCTGGTCCACTCGGATCTGCCGCCCGTCCACAG